TCACAGATGAAATTCTCTTCGGGTAATTTTAAAAAACTTTAGTGACTAAAGTAAGACTTTGGCAATATAAAATCACTTATTCTAGAGCAATAAGAAGGCTAAATTTATAGTTAGCTTGTTACAGAGATGTTGAAACTTAATATAAAAGATAACAATAATAAAAGATGGTTTAAGTAGAGTAGCTATGAAAAAGTTTAAATAGCAACTTATAGTTTCACTATTCTTATCTCAATGTCTCAGCTTTTAATCCATAAAGTAGAAATGAAATTTAAAGACTATGATCTTTCTTTTCACATAATTAACTCCTCATTTCAATAATGGCAATGGCACAAAATGTTTCTGAGAAATACAATGCTGCTTTTGAAAAAAGAATTGATTTTCAAGTAGAGGCAAAACTTTCACTCTCATATACTTCTATAAATGTAAAGTATCCTATCTAATTACCTGAAATGAATGAGCAGAAATTAAATGTTCAATGATTCTAAAATCTACTCCTAGTTTTTATTCATTAAGTTTATTGGTACATTTTAGGATGTATAACTGATAAAATCTATTCCTATTTATGTCTACATTTCAAATGGTTCAGATAAAAGAGAATTGAAGAAAGTAAAACTCCTAAACTACAGCAAATACTTATTACATAATAAAACTTGGTTTAGAAAGTGGTGAAAGCATTACATCAAAGAGAAGCATATGCTTATAATTCATCCTCTAAATTCACAAAAATTATCAGAGAATTAAGGAAATTCACATATATACATATATACACAAATACGGTAAATAAACAGGCATAGAGACACATGGATGGGGACATAGAGAGAGTCAAATTTGCAGCAATTAGGTAACATATATTAGAGGATGGGACAGTTTGCAAAGGATGTTGTAGGGCAATTTTATGTATTCTAGTTTTTGTTGTTGTTCCTGCTGATTGAAACCAGTGCCATGTACATGATAAGCAAGTTATACTCCACTGTTACACTCCAGATCCCAAATTTATGTTTTAATAAGTTATCACATTACCTATTAAGAGAAAATATGGTTGTATCCAACTACCTTGTTTTGAAACTGTTGATTTCTACCTGGCCCCTAAACTACAATAAAAAAATCTTAAGGGTGGCAACAAAATCTGCAACATTATTCCTTTTCTGTTTTGAAGAACAACTGTTTCTAGGCTATACCAAATTTTTCTGCTAACAAAATATGAGAGAAGTCACATTTGATTTGTTATTTTCCTTTAAGAATCCAATGTTAAGGGATAATGTATATGATGAATGCTGCAGTAATTGTGGAGTAGGTGTTCATTGTGATTGATTTGGGAGACATACGCCAAGGACAGAGACATAACGGACTAAACACCCAACTTACCCACAAAGTGCATACTATACAATGTATTAATAAGCTGTATCCATTCTTCAACATACAACTACACGGGATTTAGCTCAGTGGTTCTGCCGCCTACCTTGCAAGTGCAAGGAACCAAGTTCAAAACCCTGGTCCCAAAACAAAACAAAACTACAGGGGGAAAATCTTAAGAAAGGAAGTTTTTAAAAAAAAGACTGAATTTTCTCTAAAAGGACGATTCCAAATCCAAACAAATGGAGAACCAACCATGAAGAATATTTTCCTTTGACGATGTGAATATAAATCAAACTGTAGCACTCATTAAAATTATACAGGATAGGAAAATATAGTATTTGAAAAAGGTTATTTCTACTCTTGGCCAAAAATATTAACTACTAATAGAAAATATTCAATTATAGTTTTACTTGCGGTGTTACTCTAAAATTTTATTCTTTTACTTGCATAGAGACCTAATTTCCCGGTAGAAAGGTATTGTTCTCCTTTGGGTAGTATAACAGAGAACTGTATATTAGGCCAACAACATGAGATGGGGACAGGGATTTGTTTATAGCTCCTACTGTGTGAGAGCGATGGAGGGGATAAAGAGTAACACAAAAGTTTCCTGACATTTCACTACAGAGAATGTTTCAAGCTAATGTCTGAAAATACCATTTCAGTCTACCACCTTTTTTTTTCTTCTTCAGCTTCAGCTTTCTAGTTTTTGTGCAAGGCGTTCTGTCTAGACCTTACAGGCCTGATGCGTTTCCCACAGAGGGGCTGACTCACACACCGTCAAGATGGCGCACTGGAACATAGGCAGTATCGTTACAAGACCCAATTTTCCTTCCCAATTTGTGGATACAATCACGTACAGTTTTTACTGTGTGGATTCTTCATGGCCTTACACAAAGATTTTACTTACAGATGACTGACCTAAATTGGCTCAAACTTGATTTTTTTTTTTTTTCTCAGAGATTAACAACATTGAATGATATCCTTGCTTTGGGTATCCTACTCCAGCCCACTAAGACTGAAACAAAAGATAACTGGTTAAGTGGAGGTGTAAATTTCAATGATTTTTCAATGTGTAGATTTACAGATATTTTGTGGAAATACCAGAAAAAGAAAATTACCACAAGAAAGATAAAACAGGACAATCTTTGTCTCTCTTAATTAGCTTTGGTTTGAATTCACTTTGTCTGCAAAAATAGCTACCCCTGGTTTTTTCCGGGTTCCTGTTGCATGGAGAACTATTTTCCATCCTTTTATGTTCAGTCTATGAGTTTCTTTTTCAATTAGGTCTGTTTCTCGTGTACAGCATATTCTTGGATTTTGCTTTAACCCATTCTGCCAGTCTACTTCTTTTGATTAGTGAATTGAGGCCACTGACATAGATGGCTATAACTGATATGTATTGACTTATCATTGTTATGTTATTTTCTTGTTGTTGGTTCTTTTTTATTTTTCACCCTCTCTCTTTTAAGTTCTTGCCAGTTGGATTTGCTCTGTTGGGACTCCTGAAGTTGTGACCTTCATTGTCTTTTTCTAGGATATTTTAAAAAACTGTTTGGAGGGCTTCTTTGGTATTCATGAAGTTTCTAGATGTTCTTAGTCATGAAAATGTCTTATTTCTCCATCAATTTTGAAAGACAGTTTTGCAGAATGCATTAGTCTAGTCTGAAGGTTGTTTTCTTTTAGGACTTGAAACACTTCACTCCAGGCTCCCTTGCCCTAAGGGTTTGTGTTGAGAAGTCTGCTGTGATTCTGATGGGCTTTCCTTTGTACATAATTTGTTTCTTTTCTCTAACTGCTTGTAGTATTTGTAGTTATTTGCCATAAGAAAATAAATCATAAAAAATAATAATGTAGGTACTATAATATTGACATAGTTGCTTTTCATTTTTTCTTGTTTGGGGCGTGGGGGCTGGTGCTGGAAACTGAACCCAAGACCTTCCACATGCTAGCACAGTGCTCTACCACTGAGCTACACCTTCAGCCTGTTTTTTTCCGACATTTTTCTTTATTCCAATATTAAAATGAAAGAATAATAAATTTTGAGAGCTACAAGAGATTTTAGACATGATCAAAATTGGCACCAGTGCCATTTGAGCTTGATACTAACTTGTTGCATAGAGCTGCCCTATATTTTGTAGGACTATGAGCAGCATCCTTGGACTCTACCACTGAATATCAAACCACTTTACCACACCATCCACCCCAGAGCTGTGACCGGCACAAATGTCTATAGAGATTTTTAAGTCTTTCTGAGCAGCAAAACTATCTCTAGATGAGAACCACTGCTCTAAGACATGGATATGCGATGCATTCAAATGATTACAATTTTTATTGCAATCCTCAAGAAGGTATGAGAAGAATGTGGTCAAATTATAGGTGGGAGTAGCAAAGCTTAAAATAAGATAAAGGTCTCTGAAAAGCTATCTTTCTATAACAAAAAGGATAATACTTGTTTTGTTTATTTAAATGATCAGGAGAAAAGAGCGTGTTTTGCGAAAATACTTTAAAGTAAATATAAGACACAAAGGACAGTACCATGAAGTCAGAAATTATTAGATTAGTTTTGGTATAATAAGAGCTGAATGAATATAAGCTACCATCCAGACGGTTTATAACCACAAAGAATCAGTTTATAGCATTTTAGAGCTATATAACCTCCCTACGCTTTCATATTAAAAGAAAAAACTGACTAGAAAATTAACCTATTCTCAAAGTTAACATTTAGTCACTGTGGGACTCAAACCCAACTGTGGGAATCAAATAAAGGGCCTTATATATGCCAGGCCAGAACTCTACTGTTTCTATAATCTTCTCTTTTCTTCATCTGTAATATTAAAATGAAAAGAGAACTGACAGGAAAATTTTAAATATTTAATTGGCTCTAGTGTCTGTTCAGTTTGGCTAATGAGTTAATATGTAGCAATGGTTATTAATATTACTTATAAAAATTGTGGTAACTGACATGCCAAAAGACTTGAGTCTTTAGCTTTTGAGGGTGGACGATAACTGAAGCTGATTGAAATGTTTTTCTAAGCTGTCAACAGATGACAATATAACAGGAAAATGAAAGTGACAAAATAACATTTTCTTACATAGCATACATGTTCAGATTGGTTTATTCGGTTCCCTTGTGCTAGCTAACTTCTTTAACCTTACAATGTGCGCGGTTTTCTTCCACTTGAATGGCAAGTATTCTTGCCAGAAATGTTTTATTGTATATTTTTCCAATATCACTGCAAATATCTTGAGAGTTATACCAATCATACAGTCTCACAGCCTGTATAAGCTGCACCTCCGAATGGCCAGAAAACTTTCAAATATAAACATAATTCAAACAGCAGCCTCATCAAAAATATAATCTGTTGTTCATTTAATCTGGTTTCAAAATTGTAAAACACACAGGCACAAGCATTGCAAACATTAAGTCTTAAAAATATATTACCATCAAATAGCCAACTATTATTACAGGGCTAACATGCTACAAAAATTTCCTTCTTTGCATATTCTTCTTTAAAACTATATGTAATTAGATTCTATAACTAGCTACACATTGCTGCCTTTGCAAATATGACTTGTGCCATATAATTAACCTTAAACCACTTGAATTTTCAACCATCACCGCAATGTGAAGCAAGGGAACCTACCTCTGTAATGTTTAATTGTGTCAACCGCTAGGAATCTCTTTACCACAAGATAAGCAGAACCAGGTTCAGCCAATGAACTCCACCGAAGCACCTGCTCCAATACATTTTCTGTGTAGTGAAGAGGACGTTCTGCAAACAACAATCAAAACACACCAGAATTTGTAATTATAAATTTTAAAAAAATTCTCTTGAAAAAACATGTATACAGCAATATACATATTTTAGGTTACACAATAATAACATGAGAAATACACACAAGAAACCCTCATACCTACAAAATTATTAAGCACATCATTACATTTACTGTATTAATCTGTGAACAACTTTTGTTATGCAATTATTTTTTCTTAGGTACAGAAGTGCTTTCCATTAGGTAAAATTTCAGGAAATTACCATTAGTACAATGAACATGTGACTTCTTCTATCTTAATTGAGTCAACATTCTGATTTACTTAGGAAGAGCTGATAATTTGCATATGCAATTAACTTTAACAAGATAGCAAAACTAATTTTGTCTAACACTAAATAATAAGCGTAATTGTTTTTGTCCCAAAAAGATAAGAATCTTATGATTTTTGATCAGTACTAATGAACAATTTATAGCTGGTATTTTCACATTTAATATGAAATTATAAAACATTACAAAGAAAATATAAAAATAATTACAAAACAATACTACGCAATCCATGTTTAACTATTAGTAGAAGTATCGATCAAGAACATTAAGTGCCAATATTATACACTGTTGAACATAGTAATAGGCCAATAAGCAAGAAATTAAATGACAGTTTCAAAATTTCTCTTGGATTAATCTTCCTCCATATCTTTTTTGTTTTAGACAAATCAATCAGGCATTCATAGCATGGATTTTTAAAATGTCTTGCAATTACAATCAAAGCTTCATAAGAAAGTTTTGTTGGTGATCAAAATATGCCAATCAGTTAATAAAATATAATGACAGAAGCATATGCTGCAAAAAAAGAAATTCAAACTTTTATGGTGCTCTGAAAAATAGCATAATTAGCAAGAAGAGAAGCTCTGACATGAAGATATTGATGCTGCTTTCTCCTAACCATATATGTTGATTCAACCTTCCTAAATATACAGTACACAGGACTCGAGCTTTCTGTTTTTAAAGTAGTATCACCAGTGCTAAACAAGAATAAGCATGCAAAAGGCATTATACGTAACCCATGACATTGCAGCTGATAATAAAATCACATATAAAATGGATCAAATATGTCACATTCCCCACAGTTCTGCTTTCTCAGGTTATGACCACACAATTGGAGGAGTTCTCATTAATCCCAAGTCCACAAAAGAAAATATGTTTTCTTCTTCCAGGCAATTTACCCAATTTTTGCTTCCTATCTAATAAAGCGAAATCCAGTTCTTCATTCTGTGTTTATTGGACCAAGTCTATTTATTATTTATAATGGGAATTTTAAAAAGAGAGGCATCAATCCATTCATCTTAAAATCTGTATCTCTATTTACTATTATATTTCTTTGCATATGGCAGAGTAAAGACTACATGACAGATGCTCAATAAATGTTTCAGTTACTAATTACTAAATTAATTTCTTTTGGACCATAAGTTAACAGAAAATATTTGTTGTAAGATCAGCAGATAAAATATACATTCTTTTAAACTAGAAAAAATTGTGCTTCATCATTTTTAGTGCTCTCCTTCATATAGTTTTCCAGAAGGTTAGGCAAAGATCATAGTTGGTTACAGTTTGCCAAAGTTATAAATCAGTCACTGATTAACCTAAGAATTTGTTTCTTATCATGAGAATTAGAAGTATCTAAATGTGAAGCTACTTCTAGAAAAAGCCCTCTTTTTATATTTGATATATAATTCTTGATAGCACTGCTTAGTAGCTCTGAAACATTATTGATCCTATTAATAGGTGTCATTTCTGGAATAACAACCATGAATCAGATATTATATACGTTGTGTATTTACTTTACATCAGTCGTCAATTATGATAACATACTATTATTTGCATTGATATTTTGTAGTCACATAATGGTTAAATCAAGGAATAAGAATTTGAATCATAAACCTTTCTGATTTGAAAGTTCCCATTTTTAACCACTGCACTTAAGAGTAGTGATAATTTCTCACATGTAATTTTTTTGAAAAAAGGATTGAATTACTAAGTTTTATTATGTTTTTGAAGATTGAGCAAGGTATCATAAGGAAGGAAGGAAAAAAGGAGGGAGGAAGGAGGGAGGGAGGAAAAAAGGAGAAAAAGAAAGAGAGAAAGAGAAAGAGAGAGAGAGAGAAAAGGAAAGGTCTGTCCAAAGTTTATCCTTCACTTTCCTATCCTACTTGAGAAAATGGTAAGGAAATAATGGCAAGATATATTCAACAGTGCATGTAAGGAAACCAGTGACAGAGCAACTGTGCTGGCCAAGCAGAAATCATGTGCTTAACTGGAACAAATCATGTAACTTGAAATAAAAACTCACTCTCCTTGGCTACAGGATTTAATTAGTAATGAGACTTCCAAATGTCAGAATATTTACATTAAAGAAGGTCAGTATTACACAGTATTAATAGTAGATACTGTAGTGATAGAAAGAAAGTGCTCTGAATTATACTAAAATATATTAGAGCAGTTATGGAGGCTTATCAATAGGCATATAATGAATTTGGATTTCAAAAAGTTAAGTACATCGCTCATATCACTATCACAGTATGAAATACTACAGGAGAAGGAAACTCTGCATACCCAAGATACTAAAGAACAAGCTGAAAATGTGATGGAAAGAAAAGTATGTCTTAGACTGCCAAATGCCATCATTATGGAATGGCATTTTTATTTTAAGAAAGAGATAAGCAGAAAAAAGTTGATCGAGTCACTAAAAACTGTTGGACTATAAACTTATACAAATAAACTGTCTATAGTTACACGATAGATTATATGGTCAGTCTTTTGACATTAGGGCATTATGAAAAACAAGTAACTTTTATAATATCAACAGAATAAAAATTGCTAAAAATTCAGAAAAACCCTTGAGGAGAATAGGTTATGGAACTATTACTTTGGCTAGGTGAGCACAAGGTTATCAGTTGTTTAAAATCTTATGAAAAAAGTAAGCCTGACATCCCTTGTTAAAAAGAGCTATTCATGGTCCACCTGAAATAAAAACCGCTGTCCTTAAATTTCTGGTAGCCATGCAGAGTTTCCAGAGACAATTATGACTTCCGCAAAAGTCAGAATCTTAGTGCCAGAGTAAGGCCTATACAACCCTTCCTCTGTCCCACCCACATGATCAGTGTGGTAGCACACTTCATGTGTCAATGAGGAGAACTGCAAGAATCCTTTTGAAAAATAAATCTTTCATATCACAGTAGCTATGAGAAAGGAAAAAACTTTTGCTATGATAATGCTGCAAAGAAAGTAACTGCTTCATGATTAATATTATTAATAGGTTTATCTCAAAAAAGGTACAGTGAATGGTATGGAATATTTATCACACAAATAGGGCACTGGATATGGCAGGGTAGAGAAATACGGTTTTATCCATTTATTAATTTTTGATCATTTCAAAATTAATTTTGAATCATTACTTGGAGCATTTATTTTTATATTAGGAAACTCACCAATTTGTCACTGATAATCTTTCTACTAACTATAATCTTGTAATTACTACTATGCCTTTCATTTAATCTTTATTATCTCACTACATCTCCCCTGCATGTTACTAGAAATAAAGCTTTTAACACTTGGGAAGGTCAGTGTTGTGCAGGTTCCATTTACTTCAGTCAACCCACATAATCACAGGTCCTTTTCTTGGGTCTCTACAATTGTTCCGCTAGAAGCAGTAAAAACATCCTGGTTTTCTCTTTGCCAATTACTACAGTATAGTTGCTCCAACACTGACATCATGCAATATTTTAATTCCCAACTCCAAATGTATATGTTTTTGATATACACAGAATATTTCTTTGATTCAGACATGCACGGAAAAAAATCAATTTGATGCCTCCTGCTATATTGCCACCTCTATTAGGATAACTTTTTCTTTCCTTTTTATTAGAAAGGAGTAACAATACAAACCTAACCAAATCTTAGCATTTTGTGGTGCTGATTATCATGTGCAATTGGATAACTAACTAGTCATCTATCTTCAAGGTAAGAAGCTCCTAATGTTTCAAAAGGAAATTTGAAAAACAATGTTTCCAGGTAGAATGTAATCCTACTAGCTATATATATATACATTTCCTTCCCGTCATCATCCAATTTGTTCCTCTCTGTCAGGAGGGCCAACAAGCAAAGGCTCCAATACTATGACAAAGCTCCAATGTTATGACACAGGAGTATGCTTTAATCCAATGACGGAGAATCTTTTAGAGCTTTCAATGACAACAAACATGGGCCATATGTTTGCCACCAATGCCTTAATCTAATTTAATCCTTGGAAAAATAAGCATTAGTAGGAAGAGGATGCCTAGGGTCTTAAATTACTTTTTCTCACTGCTGAACCAAAATACCCAACACCCAAAATTAAAAGGGGAAAGGTCTATATAGCTCACAGTTCGTAGAGGTTTCAGTCCATCAATGGCTGGCTTCCAAGCAAGGTGGAAGGCCAGGGATTTAGCTGAGTGGTTTTGGTGACTGCCTCGCAAGTGCAAGGACCTGAGTTCGATCCCCGTTACAAAAACAAAAACAAAAACAAAAACAAAAACAACCAAAAAACAAAGCAAGATGGCAGAGGGGCATCTCAGAGGAGAACCCCAGTTGATGGTGGCCACAAGGTATCAAAAGCAAAAAGAGACCTTAATAGTGAGTGTCATTCTGCCCCTTTTTATCTTATTTAGACTCCTTAGGGCATGTAGCACTCACACCCTTAATTCTAGTGCCCTTGGGCCTAAGCATTACACCATGAATCAATCACACACTTTAGACTCAGTCACCTCTGCAAAAGACCAACCTACCAACCACATGAGGCTCTGGGGACACATTTAAACACAAGTCATAATACCTACCTTAAAATACGTGACTCATGGGGAGGGGAGGAGGGGGTGAGGGGAGGGCAGAGGTAAGGGGAAAAAGTGAGAATCAAGACTTGCCATGTAGAGGTACATGATCCCAACAATGAATGAAACTGTACTGTATCCCTAAAATGTACCAATAAACTCAATAAAATTAATAAAAAAAATACGTGACTCAATATTCTGCTGTGAATCTTCTCAAATAAACAGAAATAAAAGTATGCAGGAAATAATCAACTGCCAAGCTGTAACCCTGACTTAGAAATCTCCTAATCTACCAATAGAGATAACTTTCTATGGGCTTTCCATTTTCTCCATTTGGATGTATCTCTATAAAGAGCCACAATCCAAGTCATTTAGATCCAGAATGGATATATTTCTTTATTTTCTTGTTCTATGTCAGTGAAGAAGATGTTAATGGAGAATGTTTATATTAGTGTACTATCCTATAGGTTGTGAGAATTATAAAGATCTAAAATATATGCTGGGTCCTAAAAAAGTATCGTCAAAGGAAGAGCCAGATATGCTATTCTAAAAGTTAGATGGTATGTAGTATTATACATACAGAAGCAAATGATCAAAAGTAAATCAGTTCAAACTATGTTCATCTGAATGTCACCCTAGAGGCAGGGGCAGTTGAGCTGGATTTTAAGGATGAATCGATAATGGCAAAATAATGAAAAAGGTTTTATTTGATAGAACAACAATCTAATCTGTGATTAATACAGATAATTCTAGAAATATGCCAATAGATATCTTTCACAAATACAATGATGCTAGTAAGCTGGGCCCTTTATGAAGCTTAGACAAAAAAGAAAAATTGAAAGGCTCCACCATTCCTGAATCACACAGTTACATAATACTATGCTCTATTTAATAAATGTTAATTGTATAGCAGCACGTCAGACATTAGAGACAAAGCAGAAAAGAAATAACTGAATCTCCACTTCATTTCAAAAAGCCCTGTCTAGACAAATATAAATTCAGGCACTAGGCAGCACAAAAAGAGTGGACAGCAAGCAATGTAACTCTGAATATGGATTTTAAAGGAGATAATTAGGTGGCCCAGATGGAGGAAGAACAAAGGTTTACATGAGAAATGACACTCATATGTTGGTCAAGTGCAAATATATTTTCTATATAGAATATATTTTCTATAAAGGACTTACAATACAAGGAAAGATTCCAAAGGAAATTGAAGCAAGGGAAATCTCACATTTAGATAGAAAGAAAAACTAAAAATAAGTCAAAATGATTAGAGAATCAAGAGGAGAACCTAGGCAGGATTGAAAATGGAATAAAAATCACCAAATGAAAGGGAAAGGTCATTAACAATGCCACAGAAAGGACAGGTAAAGCCTGAGGCAAATCTACTGTCTTTGACAGCTGGGGTAAGGGGGCAGGGGATCATAGAGTCATTTGCTAGGGCAGTTCTATCCATGAGGGGACTGAGCACTGACATAAGGGAACCTGGATCTTGGCAATGTATATTGAAAAAACAATACCTAGGCACAAAGTAAGTTTTTCAGACTTACTGTGCATGATAAGAAGAAATAAAGGAATTAAAATTATTAAGATGGACTAGTCAAAGACAAAGCACCCATTCATTCCAATTATAACCTAACAAAGATTGCAATACTCCAAATAATGCAAAACAGGGTATTTCAACATTGAATTGTAATTTTTATTTGAGCTTGTGGGTGGCAAGGTATTCCTTCTGGCAGTTTGACAGCTATACTTGAAAAGGTCCCAAGACCTCAGTAGATATTAACTAGACAGATGTCCAAGGTATAGACATTCTTCATCTGTTTTTCTTAGAGGCCTTTAATACCAAATGGTATTATAATAATATTAAACTTATTCAACACCAAAAGTAGCCAAAAGAAAAGTTTCTCCTAGGCTTCTTTTTTTTTTTTTTTAGAATAGTAATCTTAATATATATGTGCTTTGTTCTTAAATTAGTGACATATAAGAATGGTAGTAGTGACACTTATAATATTTTTATAAATCTCATTGCTTGTTCTTATAAGCAAAGGCTTTCTTTCATGAGGCAAAAACAGAGCTAACACTTTATGTTTTATTTTTATACTCAATAAATAATCTATTTTGGTGAATAAATTCACAGGAAGGTAACCTCAACTGGTGATAGCACAAAACATGCACTAAGACAGAAGTGAATTTATAACAAGAGACTAATCTTTAGGAAAACATAAATGCTAGTAATGACTTCTTCCCAAAAAATAAGACCATTTCTTCAAACTGTAAAGAATTTAAGAATCCCTAACATGAAAATCACTTACCTAGCTCTTCATTTTCAATGACTTCAAATGTGGCCCATACATCATCTTTTGTATGAAGGATATTTTTTATTGCTAATATGTCATTAGTTAATTCTTCTGCTTCCATCACAGGAGATATCTGCAAAAAAGGCAGTATATCTTTAAAAACTACGACAAACACAGAAGCAGCCTTGTGATATATCAATAATACTCTCAATCTAACAATATCCCATTTGCTGGTATGATAAAAAGTACCTTCTCTATGTGGAAGACAGCATGTTCAGATACTCTCCATTAAATTTAACGTAATTTAATGTAAATGCAAAGGGATATTACAATATAGACATAATCATGAAGGATTTGCTCACATAGTGATAAAGGAAGAGATGTTCTTAGTCACACACAGACTTTCACTAGGCAACAAATCCAATAATCTCCTAGGAGTAAAACTTTTCATTTCGATAATCAAGAGCACAGAGTGACTTGCTTTATTCAGACTGGGCCCTAATTATACACAGTTGACTGGCTGCTGTCTGTCCTGCCAAGAAATCCCCGGGTTTTGATAGTCTGTGGTGTGCACTGCTGTGCCAAGTAACAGATGGTGGGATACTGAAGTATGTGGGAGCCAGAATTTCAGAGCACAGGCTGGACTCAGCAGTGCCAGCCAGAGGCCCAGCTCCACAAAAGCCCCAAAGCCAGAGGCCACCATTACTTCTTCCTGGATTTCTGATTAACTTCCTCCATTTTTTCCAATCTCCAGTGCATGCTAGCCAAAACCACTTCTTTAGTTAGAATTTAATAATCATGTGAAACACATTTTAAACATCAGCACGTTGTGAGTGTAATTTAGTTTACATATTTAACTTCAAAGACTTCTTAGTAAAGGAATGAGTTTATTTCCATTTCTACTCTCCCTTGTTACTCTTAAGCCTGTTGGACATATATAATTAACAAAAATGTTTTTCACTACAGGTAACTCACATGTTTTATCTTTTGTATTTCATGAAATTTAGGGTTTGTTTAAGGAATATATTAAATACAAAATAAAGTATATTTTTGTACTTAAAAAGGCTCAACAAAATATAAGCTTTAAAAAATGTTAGCATCTGGGGAAAGTAGAGAATTCTAAATAGCAAGAAGAGTATATGAATATTTTCTATGTTGCTTTTGATGTAATTAATTTAAAATATTTAAAAGAGCCATTCTTCAAAAACAGTAATTACTGAGAAGGAAAACTTGTGAAATAAGACTTTGAAGTGCCTCAGTTTGAAGCAGGATGACCGGATGGATCCCAAAAGAAGAAACCCAAAGCCCCTCTTACAAACAACTAGAAGACACTTAGGACTATGACATATATAGGTCAGCGTAATGACCACCAGGTCTGGAAGATGATGACACAGGTTTGTATGTGGCCTTAACTTCCTTCAATCCCCAGTTTCCATACCTATAAAAAAGGGTGTCATCTCCTTCATCTACCTCCAGGAGTTGAGATAATGATAAAGACTTTTGTAAAATCTTAAGCATGAAAGCAAATGTTACTGGTAATTTTTGAATAGTTTTTGAATTTTTAAAAGAACATTTGGAATTGTTTTAGGTGAACATGTAGTCTCATCTATATACACACTCAAGATAATGTGCGAACTTTGCTAAACTATAATAATTTCTGTTTGGGCTGGAGATTTGGCTCAGTGGTTCTGCCACCTGCCTCATAAGTGCAAGGACCCAAGTTCGATCGCTGGTACCAAAAAAAGAAGGCAAAATAATTTCTCTTATAGCTCTATAAGTTAAATAAAATTAAAATGTGCCACTAAAGAGTTTATGTACGGGCTCAATTACACCATGTGCTTTGACCATCTCTTCCAGCATTAGTAACTGACATGTGCTGATTGATCTACCCACCGTTTCTCATGTGCCTTATGAGCAAAATCACACATTTAGTACAAGAACTACCACATGAACAAGGACTGGCCAGGCAAATGCCTCACACAGGATTTGATCATAGAGCCAATGCTCATAATATTTCAGCTACAAGTTCTAAGTAAGGTAGCTAGTGCCATCTAGTCATAATATGCAAACATTAGAAATTTCTACTTTAATAATTACAATATATTTAACAAAGTCTAAAACTATCATATGTTGTGATTAAATTTGGACTTTAAAAAAGGCAAGAAGCTAACTTCTTACATAAGAACTTCTTACATAAAACCTTGAACTTTTCTTACATAGCAGAATGTGTATTCTGCAGGCAAGAAAGTAGTCTCACCAAGTAAGAACGTGAAATGTCACGGTTACTATACACAAGGCGAACTACTGAATACAGCAGTATGAGAAGGATCTAAATTTCAATTCAGCAAGAATAATCAATATTCCCAAGGAAGAAAAGGGTTATCCAATATTTAAATAATTTGGAAGACTGTTAAAGTACAGGAAACAAGGGGGAGCAATTAATAATAATGATAATAATGATACCACTATAGTAATAGATATCTGTAAACATGTATTTGCTGAAGAAACAAATGTGTTTCACATGTGTAAGTTTAATGAATCCTTACATCGATGATATGATGTAAAAACTGTAACTTTTCTCATTTATGTATGTGAAGACTGAGGCTGAGACAGGGCTAATAATTTGCCTAATGTTAAGAAGTTAAGAAGAGAAGAACCAAATAATTGGAATTCAGATAATTGTCCAAAAGCTACAAAAAATCCTAACCTTTCCAAGTTGCTAAAACAAAAAATTGCTGGAGAATATGGCTATGAAAATATAGCCTTATCATTAGTCATTGTTTGAACTGCAAAAGTAACATAAAATATTTGTAAAACTGTAAAGTTCAAAATATGTAAATTGATTCTAATACTTATGATGTCCAACAGCACTCTTTATAACCTTCTTTAGAACTCACCCGAATTATAATACTACAGTCTGGTTCCTTCCTTTCTACATACACTTCAATTAACAAATCTCCAGCCTGGGAAACCTAGAAAGGGCAGATATGAAGACAGCACATATATCACTAAAAATATATATAAGGCTCAATGCAATTTAAAAATTCTCATATTTCGTAGTATTCTACAACACTGAAATTAGCTCGATTACCTTGTTCATAAGCATGATATATTTATTTCAACATAAGGTTAATGACAAGGTGTCTACACAAATGTCATAACCACAATGTGACTTTTTAACTCTCATTTGAGAGTTTAACAGTCTCAAATATCCCTATATTGTTACTGAAATTATGAATATGGCTACAGTGGGAATAGGCTGTCTTTGAAAACCGAGGTCATATGGGCTATTACCTTGTACCTCAACTGGATAAACAAAATGAGGAGTCAAAATAAGCCATAGGTAATTCTGCTCTGAAGCATAATGTATCTGTAATATCAATAATTAAAAGACAACATCGGTCTTGTTAAATACCAAACTTTGAAATTAAAGGATAAATTAGGTCAGACCTATACTAAAACTACAAAGGGAAAGTTAATTTAGTAAAATAAATAAAATAAATAATTGAAATAATAGAATAGGCAGACAATGAAAGTTTATTTATTTTAATTATCCTTGACTAAATTTAAGAACAGTATTTGGGTTATTATATCCCACAGGACTAAGAAAAGATACAAGCCAGAAAAATAAAAATAAAATTTAAAAAAATATTTTGAGTAATTCTTTTCAGAAATTCAGTGTTATATAACCATTCACAAATAACATTCATCATTAAATATATTTAAAATGATCATAATGGATAAGAAATAATTGCGAAGTTAAATTTGCCTCAGTATAAAATCTAATCATTAAATTTATGGGCAAAATACTAAAAAGTGACTTTGAAAAAGTGTTCATAATTATTCTGTCAACACAGGCATGTAAAGGATCATTTCCAATTTTGCTTTCTCACTTTTAATGCTATGCAAAATTCTAGGAAGAAAAAGATACAGCTGAAATGTTTCGCTTTTCACTATGTTTGCATACATAACTCTCCAGGAAGGACACATTTAAAACAATTTTTAAAGGCAAACACAAAGAACTCATAGAGAAAAACCATACAGAAAAATAGCTAAGAAATTCAAACAGAGGAAGTACGCAGACTGTTAGAAAAATACTCAAGACAAGAATTTTGAGTAAAGAAAAACTTAAGCAAAAGAACCAATTTTTCCAAATTCTTCTACTTTCCTATTTATTGTATTGTTTAGACACTTTTTTTATTTTTTTTCTTTTAATGGATTTGAAAATATTCAAGACTCAGTTCTTTATTGTACTATGAATATAAAAGACAAACAATCTCACACAACCCTTATACTCCCAAACAGTGAGAATTTAAAAGAATTGATAATGAACCAGAGTCTAACTTCCCTGGAAGTTACACTAATTTCTTTGGGTCAAAATGGATACAATAATTTGTTAAGTATATAATACCACAGTATAAGCACTGAGGAATCTACAACTGTTGCCTCATCTCCTTCATATGGAATAATAGTTCCAAAGGTTCCTCTTATTAGAGGTAGGAATTTCAAGATTTAGAAAATTTTAGGGTCTAATAAGGAAGCATTTGCTTCATTATCTGACTATAATTATAAATAGAGCACATATGACCCACTTCTATTGTTTACACTGGAGCCTTGAATCCACTGTAATTCCTAGTTACTACAAGATGATTAATGGTCAGCCTTAATAGGTTCCAATAAATATTCATCAAATAATGTAAAATACCAAGGAAAAGCATAATGCAACCTGAAAACACACATCCCATATAATTTGACCAAGGAAAGCAAGAGAGGAATAGGAAAGTTGACTTAAAAATTAGCCTGCATTACAAAGATCACATTAGAAAGTCTCTCATTGATATAATCAAGGGAGAGCACACAAAGCAAAAGCATATGAAAAATAATTTATATTTTTAAAATCCTGATAGGAAGAATCATTTTGCTATCTGAATTTGAAATTCATTTTAGTATTTTTTTGGCTTTAAATGCTTCTTTTGAAATCCACTGGCATTTTCAATAGTGTTTTTTTTTTTAGATAACTCTCGATAATAGATTTAACTTCTATAGTTAAAAATTTTATCAACATACTATGCATAGATGTATCAGGTTGCAGAAGCACATGTTTACTTTATCAAATAGGTTCGTTTTTGCAAAACTTTTACTTTCCTTCAAACAGGAACTTGAAAATACAAGAAATATTTTTTGTTACAATTGAAATTTTTCTGTTTAATTTTTTAGATATCTAACTATTACTACTCACTTGAGTGTCTTTCCACTTGGTAATAAAGCTATTTTCTATGTCCATTTGTTTGACTTGGTCTTCTTTAACCTGTTTAAAATATAATTTGGGACATTCTAATAATGTAGAACACAAGAAATTATGATTCATCCTCAATAACTCTTCAGGGATTTAAATGCTAACAAGTTAAAAATAAATGAGAATGGCCATCTTAATCAGTCTGGGCCCGCACATCTAGGGCAGAAATAAAGCCAACAAGACAGTCTCATAATGACCAGTGCATGTGTGGATGCTATTCCTTCAGGCTGAAGCTTCCACAGAGGGAAAACCTCTTGCTAAGGAGTTTTAAACAAGTAAAGGGACTGATGACTGATTTCTGAAAGTTCTATTCAGTTGAGAATCATAACTCATTTCTCAAACCAAAATTTTCTGAGAGCTTATTAAATTTTTAACATCTAGGGAAAGATGTTTCACCTAACTATGAAGATAATCGTTTAGTTTCTATTAATGGAATTAGATAAAACTAGAATATAAAGAGAGCATGTAAAGCCACACATTTTTTTCTATTTTCTCTAGCAACAGATTACTGCAAGAAGTTGCTATTGATCAAAACAGTGAACACACATACAAAGAAACAGAGAGTAGGAGACCAAAGAGCAAAGAAAATCCAACAATCATGGTGTCCATTCTTCTACTAATTTAAATGAAAACTGTTATTTTATTATATTAAAATAGTTCTTTTTACTTTACTAAGACATCTAATAATGAGGCCTCTACAGATGATGGTCATTTATGCTGTTAAATGAAACGCATTTCATTTTATCTGGCATATCCATACCTCCAGAAAACAAGAAGTTCTTAAACACCATTTAGGAGAAAGCTCACAAAGGTTATATAACAATTTTGAGACACTAGAATTGGACCTTCGACATAGACCCACCATATTCTAATCACAGGCTTAATTCCCTTCTTTATTTTCACTTAGAGGAACTATGAAAGTATTCTATTCTTGCAGTTTATTGATAAATTCTAACTTCACAAAGCAGCAAATTCAAAAGTCAAGTAACTCAAACAGTGATAACAATAAAAACCAAAGAATAATAATATTTCAGAATTTTTCTTTTTTTCTAGTTGGAGGCGCAATTTAAAAAACTCAAAACACTTTCAATTATAGAATTTAAAAGCCTGGCATTTATTAAATTTGTTAAACGCATAATTTTACAACTCTTCATAGACATACTTAATGCATACACATAATGAGAAGAAAAATACACATACACAAAAACCTTAAAAATAGAACTTTTTGTCCAATGAAATCCAGATGGTAAAAAAGCTTTCAAAGCAGAGAAATTTAAATGACAGGTATAGGTTTGAAAGCTGCTTATATTTAAAAACTTTAAAAAATAAACTATCCCTTATTTTCCTCATTGCTAAATACAAATAAGGAAAGATAATACATCCTAAAATATTCATCTTTCTTTGTAAACAGTAACATGTATTTTAACAATGGCAGGATGTAAAATGCTTACCTCAAATATTTCAACATAATTATTAATTAGGTCTTCAATTACATTCACTTCTTCACTAGTTTGTCCCTTAGTTTGAAATAAACATGATGAAAACACCAAAGCCAAATTATGGGCATTCATATGATTGATTTCTGAGCATTTCTGAACCCTATTAGAGAGAAACACAGCTTATCATGACACACATATTTTAAAATTTCACAGAACTGAACTCTAAGTCAATTTATCATTTGTTTAACAGACACATATTAAAGTTCTTTAACATAAAAGGAACAATGGTGATTGAAAAAAACACACATGGTGCTTTCTCCTAAGTAGCTTTGGAGTCTACCTAAGGATATAAGAAACTGCTGTTAAAGGGGAGATCAGTACAAGTAACATAACAGTACTTGATGCTGATTTAGAGGATGGATTGGCCATGTCCATTCAGTTACTCAGTGAAACAATGTGAGGCCAAACCATAGAACGCGTTATCTGGAGTGGTATAAAATGACTTCTCAGGTTCCAGCATACCGACAGAGAACGGAGGAGGAAATTAGTGAACAAGGCAGTACAGACTGCTCGGTATATAGAGTTCTGAATTCCATATTTAAGACTTGGCTAAATTTTCCTGAAAAGTATGTATCAGGTAAGAAACAACACCTGACAACATGTATTTGGAAGGTTATTCAAAATGGATACTGTTATATCTCAAAAAGCAAACTCTTCCTTTAAAAATACAACAGCACTTTTCTTGGATATAACTAAAAATGCCTTTTTAAAAATGAACAGGTAGTGGCAGACAGGGTGGCTTATACCAGTAATTTCAGGTACATAGGAAGTTGATGCAGGAGGAACGCAAGTTGCAGCTCGGCTGGGGCAACTTAGAGAAGCCATGTCTTGGAATAAAATAAAAAAAGAACTGGGACGTAGCTCAGTGGTAGAGCACTTGTCCAGGATACCCAAGACCTTGGGTTCCACTGCCCAGTACCAGAGAAAGAAGAGCAGATATGAACAAACCAGTCAACTTTTCTACACAGTAAGCTCTATATAACCAGTCTTACAAAAGCATTTAAAGTATTCACAAATACAGATTTACAGTGGTTAAAATTTTTTAAATCTAAAGGTATCACCCCAAGAAAGCAAACTCACACTGTTGAAAATGCAGTGGATGGGATGATAAGTGGAAGTAGCTGATAAGGTCGCTATTTGTATTGCCTGCTCCACTGCCTGTTTAATTATATTTGAGAAATTTAAAAATACACACTATAGAAGAGGGAGCACACGCCATTAAAAGAATATGGCAAGACTAGCCTAGGTGGTCCTGTGTATATAGAAGATAGATTCTGGCAGATAACAAGAAAAAGTAAACATGATGGTAATATATATGATAATGTAAGAAATCCATAATAAAATGCAAAATTGAATAGCAGAGACAGAGCAAGAGCAGGCATCATATACAATTTACAAGATGCAAAGGAAATTGGAATTTAATAAAGGCAGGTGTAGAAATTGCAGACAGCCCTCTTAAAACTACTTCTGTACTTTTACAACACTAGGCTGCAAACATCCAGGAAATTTACCTCCATGCCTGCCTCTGAGGTGACAATCTCAGGTTCTCATAGACCGGCACCCTTCCTTTAATCACACCGTACTGCATTATAATTATCTACAGAATGGAATTAAGTGGAAGTTTCTGATGGCAGAGTGATCTTTCATCTAGGATAGGGATTGAATTAAATGCTACATCAACTTGATCTTATCCAAATTCATCTGTAAAACTTCTGACATTATCAAACATTACACCTTTCTTGAGACTACTTCTGTAACATCATTCCCATCTGGCACTCTCTTCCTCTTTTACTTTTAGCTTCTGAGACTGGCTTAACTTCTGGAATAAATTGGGTATAATACAGAATTTATTTTTCTTCCTTTACTTCTTGGTGCCCAGATGTGAGAAATCTCAAGTGTTCAGTCTCTTTTCATTCAAACCTTCTCATTAGAAAGCCAAGGAAACTTTTCCTACTTAGTTTCTCTGCCTCTCCGAATCAGTCACTGGGCTAAAAGATTTGACCTGTCACTCGTTACTTAAAGGGATAAAGTCCAAATGTTTATGCATGATCTGAAAAGCCTTTCACAACCTCCTGTCAGATAACTAAATGTTCTCATCTCCATCTCTTAGTACTCAACTGTCCCAGAAGATATTCTCTACTTGTGTGCGTGTGCGTGTGCGTGTGTGTGTGTGTGTGTGTGTGTGTGTGTGTGACAGGATCTTCCTATGCTGCCAGACTGGTCTTCAGGCTGGTCTTGGACTAATAGGCTCAAATGTTCCTCTTGCCTTAGCCTTCCAAGTAACTGGGACCACTATTGTACCATTGGGCCTGCTTTTATACTTTTATGTTTTTTTCCAAATTTATGCCCAGTTGATATTTCTTTAGAAATATGAAGAATATAAACATTCCCTGGAATTCAAGCCACAGTGACTTGCTCATTCTTTCCTCTATAATTACATGCTTCATGATAAAATTATCTGTATTACAATTTGTCCAGCATCTATGTGATGTATGACATTTGTATGGCACAATAAGAAAATAGTTGCACTGGGAATGTAACTTGGCAGTAGGCATCTGCTTAACATAGTCCCCAGCACCAATGGGGGGGAAATACATCTTTTTTTGTTGTTGTTTTGTTTTGTTTTGTACTGTGGATTGAACTTGGGTCCTTGTGCTTGCAAGGAAGGCAGCAGACAATTGAGCTAAATCCCTGGCCCAAAAATATAGAAAAGAAAGAAAACAAAACAAAACTAGAAAATCAGTTTAACAGTAGTAAGAGTTTATTATTTTGCATGAAAATTAATGGTTAAAAACAGAAAAGATGACAAATAGTGAGAAGTTTCTAATCTAGCTTCCAAGTAAGATATTTTTAGATGACTTCAGCTTTAGAAAAATTTATTCGAGGGAATATTTTGTTCATACTGGGAGCTACAATATATTCCCTTAAGCAAAATGTATATATATATATAAAGCTTTTATAATAATTCTTGCTAAGATTAACACACACAAACCAATCTTTAGTTTTAACTTAAAAGGTTATTTTAAACACTCTCCTCCTCCATATCTCTCAATTCACTATTTTTTTATTTCCTTCCAAATACAGAGTAACCTTAATGCCCTGACGTAAAAAATGTTTTTAATTTTAAATATTTCCTCATCTGAGCAGTGTGATAACAAATTATCAGGGGTCAGGTAAGATATAAATTGATAATGAAAAAATAAGTCAACAGTGAGCATAACAAAAGGAAACACCATCCTCAAAAACAGATCCTGTCAGAGAACCCTGATCCCTCAACAGACAAAGAATCACTTTCACTCTAGAGGTCGCGCACCCGCCGGGTGATCTCAGGCAGGCAGGCAGCTGAAGAGACACCCTCCGGGGTCTTTGGGTCCTTGCTGGGTCTGTTGAGGATGCCCATTATTACCACTTCTCTTCAATATAGTTCTGGAAACATTAGCCACAGCAATTAGACAAGAGATAGAAATTAAAGCAATAAAGATAGGAAAGGAAGAAGTTAAACTATCATTATTTGCTGATGATATGATACTCTACATCGAAGATCCAAAAAACTCCACCAAAAAACTTCTAGACTTAATTGACAGATTCAGTAGAGTATCTGGATACAAGGTGAATACCCAAAAATCAAAAGCCTTCTTATACACAAATAACAGACACACTGAGAGAGAAATAAGGGAAAAAATTCCTTTTACAATAGCATCCAAAAAAAATGAAATATCTAGGAATCAATCTAACAAAAGAAACAAAAGATCTCTATACTGAAAACTACAGCACTATGAAAAAAACAATTTAAGAGGATATAAAAAAATGGAAAGATATCCCCTGCTCCTGGGTAGGAAGAATCAACATAGTGAAAATGGCCATACTACCAAAACTGCTATATACATTCAATGCAATGCCAATTGAAATTCCAACACTATATTTCACAGAACTAGAAAAAAG